AAAGGAAAACTTGAAATCGCATCATATGACCCCTTTAATAACATTATCAACCCTTCTCTACTTTAGGTTTGGCTAGTTAGCGTGAGTCAGTTAGCCTCTGTTGGGAGATGTTCCTTCACATATATGAACAAAAAATAAAGCAACATACAGATTGCAAATATTTTACATTATTGCCAGTTTTGTTTTGTTTTTTCCCCTCTTATAAAAGCGAGAAATAGTCAGTTTATTTGTCCCGGTTTGCTGCCTTTGAATTCGCAACTCAGGATAATTACTAGTCAAGGAGTAAATATGTTACTACAAAAAATAAAAAATAAAAAAATTCAAAGTTGTAAATCAAGTAATGGAGATTACTGGAGTACATTTCTGGGTGAAAATTGTTTCTACACCATTTATTTCTTCAGTGTACTAAGTACTTTTTCCTGCCATTATAAATGAACCGGTGACACCAATAAATCAAATAAAACAAAGAGAACGGTAACGATAGTGTTTTATTAGTTGATTTATTTAGTCTTGTTTATCTGAAAGTTCGAGTCGATCCCATGCTGTGTTTCCATGAGTAGACAGGTGCTTGTTGGCTTCAGGCAGAATTAACAGATTCAACTTACATGTACTGAAGAAACAGAAGAAATACATGAGGATGCTGACAGAAGAGAGAAAGAGTCAGACCCAGAGGAGATACACAAATAAATCCTGGTAACACTTCACAGAGTCTCATTTGTTAACATTAATGCATTAACGAACATGAACTAGCAATTAGCAGAATATTTGGTAACTTGCTTACCTTTACAGTGTCCTTGTTGCACATTACTGTATTTACTATAGTAATAAAAGTATTGTACAAAATTACAAACAACCTAAAATTCTACAGTAAATGCATGTTAATTAACATTACATAGTACTTAATTTCATAATGACAGTGTAATAAGGACACCTTAAAATAGTGGGTTACACTTTATTTTAATGCGTCCCTGTTACAGTGTAATTATACATTTAAGTACCGAGTAATATTAATTAACTACATGTACTTACTATATGGTTAGGGTTTGGCTTAGGGTTACTTGCATGTAGTTATGCATAATTATTTTTTATTTTAATAGTAAGTACATGTAACGTGTAACAAGGACTGTTACCAAATAGTGTGATCACATTCTATAGCATTTATTAAACGACTGTTCATTTACTCATGTTAATTCAAGTGCATTGACTATTTGATAAATTTTGATTTTAAAAATTTATTAGTAAGTGTTAAAATTGAACTAAGATTAATGAATGCTGTTCATTGTTAACTCATACGGTTAACTAATGTTAATAAATGAAACCTTTTTGTAAAGTGTCACCAAAATCCCTAACTAGAGTTTCACTTCATATTCAGTTGAAGGAAAACTAATGCATCGTGCTTGTTTTGCACCTGATCTTGAGAAATGGTTTTTCCTCCCTTAAAACACAAAAAGCCATCCTATGTATGGCTCTACAGCAATATTTCTGCAGCAGCAGCCTTTGAATAATGATGAGGCGAGAGTTGCATTCATTTCCTAAAAGCTTGAAAAGCGTTATAGTTATTAACCCATTGTCACAGACCACATCACACAATACCACAGACAGAGAACCTGCTGACAAAATATATATATATATTATACACATATTATAAAACACTTCGCTTTTAAGGAAATGTTTTTGAGGGTAAATTTATGATAAATGGCTTGTGTTTCTACTTTTCAAGAAAATAACAATAAATGCCTCCGATAATGGCCACTGAGCTGAACAACTGACAGAACAACACTGATGAAGAAATATGAGCAAACTTATGTAATAAAAGTGTGATTCTCAGGGATCTTGTAACAGGTAGAAAAAAACAAACCTTACTGAGGAAACTCTCCGTTCTGGCCTCATATAATCATATAAGATCTAAGTGAAGAGTTAATGAAAAAACACTTAAGATAAAAAAAAAATACAATAAAACCCTAAAACCTCCCAAAAATATACACTATCATGTCAAAAGTTTGGAATAATTGGGATTATTTGCGCAAGAAGTCTCTCTTAACAAGCGTTTGTTTGATGAGAAATACAGTAAAAAGTGTAAAATTGAGGAAGTATTTTTACAACTTAAAATAACTTTTCTATTTTGAATATGTTTTAAAATGTAATTTATTTCTGTGTCACATGATCCTTCAAAAAACATTCTAATATGCTGATTTGCTGCTCAAATATTATTGGTGCTCAGTTATTAATAATGGTCATTATCAATGTTGTTTTTGTTGCTTAATATTTTTGTGGAAACCACTTTTTTTCCTAAAATCTTTTATGAATAGGAATTTCAAAAGAGCAGCATTTATATGAGCAATTTAATTTTGAGCAATTTAATGCATCCTAATAATTGAGAAAATCAGCATATTAGAATGATTTCTGAAGGATCATGTGACACTGAAGACTGGAGTAATGATGCTGAAAATCCAGCTTTGCATCAAAAAAAATAAATGATATTTTAAAACATATTACAATAGAAACCAGTAATTTAAATTGTAATAATATTTCACAATTTTACTGTTTTTAATGTATTTGTATCAAACAAATGTAGCCTTGGTGAGCAGAAGAGACTTCTTTCAAAATCATTAAAAGTCTTAATTATTCCGAACTTGTGTAGATGGTCTGATAGGTAAGAGCAAAGGTATGAAATAACGAGCGAGAGGGGGAAAGATGAAGTGAAAGACAGGGATGGACAGAACCAGCATTCATCATCTGAACTCTTCTCTATGACACCATGAGCTTCCCTGAGAGACAGAGATGCACGAGAGACACTGAGAGAGAGAGAGAGAGCGAGAGAGAGAGAGAGAGAGGAGAGCGAGAGAGAGAGAGGGGGTCACATCACAGTGGAGTCAGCTGTCTTAACCGTCGGGACAACTCTCTTGCACAACATCCCACGGGGGAAGTTTTTTACTGGTTATAGCAATGAGAGAATGAGGCCTTGGGCAGTGCAACCGACATGAGTGTTGCACAGAAAACATGTAACTGCAAGAAGCTGATGAAATCTTACATGCTTGAGAGTTTTGAAGCTGTATATGCACCAAGTATGCTGATTATGAATAGAGTCTTTTCATTAATTCGACTGCATACAAACATGGGACATGAAATCTGCATGAGAGAGAAAGAGAGAGAGAGAGAGAGAGAGAGAGAGAGAGAGAGAGACAGACAGACAGACAGATGGAGAGAAGGGGGTTTAGCATGTTGGCGGTCACATCTCACTGCTTTTCATCCTCAGCATCTTGCAGCGCGGTTTTATTTTGTTCTTCACCTGAGAGGAAAAAAAGAATGAGCCTTTGTTATTACAGTGGCATTGATAAGTTAAGCTGCACACTGTAAGACAAACTCCACACCTTCCATGTTTTAAGCCTGAAACACAAAGCTAAAGTCAAGCCACAGCACACAAACACTCTGAGTAAGTGCATTTGTGACCCTGGAGCACAAAAGCAGTCTTAAGTCGCTGGGGTATGTTTGTAGCAATAGCCAAAAATACATTGTATGGGTCAAAATTATTGCTTTTTCTTTTATGCCAAAAATCATTAGGATATTAAGTAAAGATCATGTTCCATGAAGATATTTTGTAAATTGACTAACGTAAATATATCAAAACGTAATTATTGATTAGTAATATGCATTGCTAAGAACTTCATTTGGACAACTTTAAAGGCGATTTTCTCAATATTTAGATTTTTTTGCACCCTCAGATTCCAGATTTTCAACTAGTTGCATCTCAATATCGAGAGAGACAAATTCCAAATATTGTCTCGACCCTAACAAACCATGGAGAGCTTATTTATTCAGCTTTCAGATGGTGTATAAATCTCAATTTCAAAACATTGACCCTTATGACTGGTTTTGTGGACCAGGGTCACATTTGTGAGACGCTGCAACTAGTCAAGATACTACAACCAATTTCAAACCAGTTTACAACTGTTTGACCAGGCTTCAGGTCTGTGCACCGTCTCGTGCAGAGATGCCCAAACCAGGGCCTGAGGGCCAACGTTTGCCCGTGATGACCTTTGATTTGGCCCACCATGCCTTTTTACAAGAGGCAGCGAAAAAGTAAGAAAACAACATGCCATTGAAGCATATCTTATTTTCTAATGTATTAGTTAGTTAATTGATCTATCATTGAAATATAAAAAAACAATATTAGTGAATTTGATTTAAGAATGTCAAAAAATATTTAAATTTGTTAAATTGTTGTTGTTGTTATTACTAATACATTCTAATATAATATAGTTGGAAATAATCAAAAGGGACCCTACATAATACACATCCCTTGGTTTATTGTGTACGATTCAGCATGAATTACTGCATTGAGATTATTTTCAACATTCATCAATAAATGCACATAAAAATAATTTTGAAATAAGAATAATGATAATAAATAATAACATTTGTAATAATAGGCTTACACTGTAAATTACATGAAGAGAAATATAAACAAAGATATAAAGCGAAATGTTTTTTTTTTTTTGACAAATCCTCAGGCAAAATGTTATGATCAAGCATAATCAAACAAATTCTACATTCTGATTTAATGAGCCTCGCTTAACTCAGCAATGGCTCAATGGGTTCGTAGTTTATTTTGCTTATTAGGAGCAACACGGGTCAATGACGCCGCTCCTTATTCAATAATGCTAAATTTATGGAGAGTAATTGTAGTTAATCAATGCAGCTTTTTTCTAGCCCAAGAAACTTTTATTAAATAATAACTTCATTTTATAAATTATTTAACACCATGCCAGTTTCTTTTGTCATTAAAACCATACTCGAGTTATTAAAAATGACAGAAATGATACATTTAAAGAAAATTATAGAAACGGAAACTAAAAGATATTCAAGATCAATTTTTCCAAAATTCTAAAACTAAATTTGGAATAATTTGATTAAAACCCTTTCAAGGGTATCAAGAGAACAAAATCTACTCAGAGTAGGGTTGTAACGGTGAGGAAAGTTTCTCACCGGTTAATCGTCGTGTGACAACACGGCGTTCCCTCTTTTCCTCACTTTCCTTCGCTTTTAAATAGCTTAAAAGCACCAGTGCGCATTTTACTTTAATTAGAGGCAATTCGGCGTCAATTGCTTGAATGCAACAACAAAATACAACGTCAAACTCACTTTAGCCTATATATATATATATATAAAACATAGAACTTTTATTAACAAAACAAATAAAAATACACCATGCTATAGGGCAGGCTATGCCTAATATAAAATAACAAATAACTTACATAAAGTTTAAATAGGTATACAAAATGTAAACGGAAATATGTAAACATGTATAATATATAATCAAATAAATAAGAAACGTAGAACGTTTATTAGCAAAACGAGTAAGAAAGCTTGGAGGCACGGCATACACCTTGATGTCAAATAAAATAACTAAATGACACAAAGTTTAAATAAAGTAAAAATCAGCAAACAATGTGGAACCAATTAAATAAGAAACAAATGTTT